TTCGCTTTCACAACGAAACACACAGCACCTTCACGACATGGCGGCGGCGGCAACAACAATACTACAGCGAGAATAAAAGTTACGCCTTCTTTCTTTGCGTGAACATTTAGGCGGCGTTATGCAAATCTTCCCACATCGTGATGTAGACATGTGGGGGTGTGTTAGAATGAGCCGTTTTAGGTAGGCGTGGTTGACTCTTAACTTTTATAAAGAATATCTCTTTGGATTTGAGACTTTAGTCTTTGCAACTACAGATCTTCTTTATGCACCAAGAGCTTGTAACACTCCAAAGAGAAAGGAAAAATTGAAATCGCATCTTATGACCCCTTTAAGACAGTTAAATCAATGTTATCTAAATGCATAACATAAAATACACTAGGAGGGGAATAAACAAAGTTTAGCATTAGCATTCCTAATAACCTTGTTCTAATAATCAAAATACAATTCGTTTTTGTCTCCAAACAGGTTAAAGGGAAATACCAACTGAAGCATGACGCCATCACACATCTTGACAATACCATCTCTGCTTTTGCTTTCTGGAGTTCTGGTACTTTCTCAAGACTATGAAGTTGACTATTCGGATTATGACACAGATGACTCTTCGCCTGAAGTTCCTCAACAACCTGATTCCGATGCCCTACTAATGTATTTGTACGAATGTGCCAGCGAGTGTTTCTGCCCCTCGTCCTATCCTATTGCCATGTATTGCAACCACCGAAACCTCAAGGCGATTCCCAATGTCCCTAGACACATCCGCCACTTGTACATCCAGCATAACGACATAGAAGAGATAACTTCAAAGCCTTTTATTAATGCCACGTCCCTGAGGGAAATCAACCTCAGCTACAACAAGATCCAATCATCTAAGGTGGATAAAGATGTCTTTAGTGTACTCAAGGAACTCATTCAGTTACACCTTTAGCATAATAATCTGGAAGACGTTCCTTCTCCTCTGCCAAAAACTCTTAAGAGGCTTCATCTGGGCTTTAATAAAATTTCAAAGATACCAGCTGACGCCACACGCAAGCTTACGAAACTTACAGTGCTGGAAAAGATCCTATCTGGCATGAAGAGTCTCATGCAAATCAACATGTGCAACAATAAGCTCAAGTCCATGCCAGCAGACCTTCCAGAATCGATCCAGCAGATATCGCTGGAAAACAACTCAATCGCCTCCATACCGGAGGGCTACTTTAAGAAGACTCCTAATCTTCCGTCCCTTCGCATGCCGCACAATAAACTCAAATCCATTGCATACAGTGCCTTTAACCTGTCCAAACTGATGGAGCTCCATTTGGGCCATAACCAGCTCTCCAAACTGTTTTTTGTTCCCAGGACCTTGGAACATCTTTATCTAAACCACAATGACTTTAAAGGTAGGATTAAACTTAAAGGCACAAATGCTGTAGAATAAAACATGAAGGTCTCTTCAAGAAATGTTAACCACATCCTTCATTTACTCAAATAACGAGATACGTCTCTTTGCAGATCTGAATATCTCTCTGATGTGTCCATCACTGGATCTTGGCAACCCTAACATGCTGACCTATATACGTCTCGACAACAATAAACTGAGAGGACCAGTGGACTACTACGCTTACAGATGTTTCCCAAGGCTGATAATGATATTTTACGGAAACCAAAGGAAGGACGATGAAGAGGAGTCTGAAACCAAAAAATATGAAAAGCCCGAACGACCAAAGGCTATTAGGCTATCGACTTGATAGATTAGATAGATTTTTGAGATGCGTCCTAGTTCAACACACCAAACTATTCATTACTCAAAGAATAAAAGACAGCCCTCTACGAACACCTTGGCAATTGAATCGCCATTGGCTAGTAATTTTTTTTGTTTACTCGCCAGACTGATAAATATATATATATATATAAATATATATATGTTTGTAAAATGGCAGTTTTATAAATATCTGAAAGTACACTCTTAACATCAGTCAGTCAAGTATTATAATATGATAATAAATATTACTTAATGATAGAACTTTAGTAATTAGAATTAAAACTTGATAACCATGTATGAATGCATATTAGTAGGCGGAGACAGTAGTGAAACTCTGAAGCGCTCAGTCGAGTGAAAATATATCTGAGCTAAACTTATACTTAGCCTCCAACTCACACACTGGCGAGTAAAATCTGAGAATTTATTAGCAATTGGCTAATATTAGACATCATTTAGTCACCCAGAGTGAAGATTTAGTCGCATATGCGAGTGATTTACTCGCAATGTAGAGGGTTGAAAGAGGATTTATAATATTTAAATATTATTGAAAATACATATATTAGTAAACATTCAGTTCATTGCTGCTTAAACATTCTATTTGATTTTCTGCTTGCTTGGTTATGCATCTCAATCAGCATAAAATGTGGGCAAAACTGAATTGCTACGTACGGAAATTTCTGATTTAAAGATTGCTTTGTTTTGCACAGTGTCACTTTTCTCTCCATAAATACAATACTGTCTATGGAGGGTCAGAAAGCTATCTGATTTTATCAAAAATATCTTCCGAAGATGAATGAAGGTCTTACGGGTTTGGAACAACATGAGGGTGAGTAATTAATGACAGAATTTTCATGTTTGAACTATCCCTTGAACATTAAAACAATGAGTAAAGAAAGTGTAAATATCAAAAAATATAATTTTTCATCAGAATAATTGGACAAATAAATTATTGCTTAATTTGGTTGATCTCTACTAATCATACAGACTTCTGTGACTGACTAGTGGTTAAACTAATTAATTATGAAAATAAGTATTTTTGCACCTTCTTCCACACCAGTTTTTTTTAGTGTAGAGCAGTGGTCACCAACCTTTTTAGGCCCAAGATCCCTGACCTCGGCCTTTATGAAAGACAAGATCTACCTATTGAAGAATTGATAGAAAAAATGGTGTAGAGGACTTATGTTTAAATATTTGGAATCCTCCAAATCAAGTCATGTGGTGAAGAAACCACCTTGACAGAGAAATTAACCACAGAGGATCAGCAGTGTAAAAACATCTGGCCGTAGCACTATCTGGCCCTTTTCTTAGTACAGTAACTTTTTACAGGTTGGCATAATTGTTAACACACCTGTAATGTTATTCATACTCTATTTCCATCTCTTACAAGTTTATTTCGAGAGGGGCCGAGGTGCCTTTCGTCTTGTCTTAAGGTGCAAAAAGGAGAGTAAATCACTCACATGTTTCCTATTACACATGTTTTTCTTCACTTTAATCTTTAAGTGTCTGTTTTATAGAGGAGCTCTGTTGTACTTTTGTAATGCACTGTATTTGGTTTTAATGAAATGTATCTAGGCAAACTTGTAAATTACACAAACAAACTGAAAATGTTCAATCACAGTTGGGATACGTAGAGATGGATAACTCTAATTAAAGAGTTTGTTCAATTTGGACCTGATCTATCCTAATGTCCCACAATCTATCGCAATTACCACTGTCCACCCATTATCTTGTTGCAGATTCCTGCAAAACTAATCCAGCTACTCTTTTTTTCTAGTGAATGTACTGTAAAATGCTATCAAAGCTGGATCCAACATGAAGTCAAAATTAAAATGAACAATATAGCAAGGCTACTGAAAGATGGACAATAATCAAAGAATCTGGACCTGATCTATCCTAATGTCCGGTCACATTTCTGTGTTACCATTGTCCTCCCACTGCTTTTCTTGCTTCTCTGAGAAGCTTAAAGATTTATTAGAAAAGCACAGAATGAAAGAAGAGCCAAACATGCCTCAATATTCCAAGAGATCAGCAAACATAAAATTCTGAGCTACAAAGCAAAACTAACAATCCTTTTCATTGCCTTCTGCTGTTTTACGAACTGTTTTTTTTTTCCAGTGGACCACAAACATGGCCAAACCCTGCAGGCGACACAGTGGTCTGATCAGCTCAGATGGGAATGCGAAGGGTTAAGGTCTGTTCCATAAACTCCCACTTAAGGATCTCCTCTGGCAGCCTGTGGTGGGGCTTAAAGTCCTGATTTGACAGATCACATTTTACTCACAGGCACCAAGAAAATAGCCAACCACTGCCTGCACTGCGCTTCTGCTCTTTAACGTGGCAGAACACATCCCAGAGTCTTTAGATACAATGGGGACGAGGCTGCGAATGCTGATATCAGCAGTCATATTTGCATCATGGGTGCTCTCAGCATCTGGTGCACACTATCACACTCACAGGCATCACAGACTGGAGGATGTAGCACTTACTGAGGAAATCGATGAAAGGGCACAGAGGAATAAGGTAAATTTTGTATTTTTATTCCATGATTAATTGTTATTTTACACAAGGGCTGACAGAACAGATTATTTAGAAATGGGTTTGTTTTTGTCTACTGCTTGTCCAATTTATATATGCTTTTTTTAAATTTTGCGTTACTTTGATTTCATTTGTATTTAGCTTAATTGAACTTGTTCCCATTTCACTAAACCATATATGACACATTAAATCTAATGCAATATGTAAAATTAATGTTTACAAAAAATTATATCCATTATAATTATAGTTATATATATATAACATGTAAACATAAACAAGTAAACATAAAATGTGTTTGTGTGTGTACTGTATATATATATATATATATATATATAACAAAAACATAAAATATAATATAACAAACATGTCACTAAATATTTAGTACTAAGATTATTTAAAGCATTGCAACTGATTTTCAAAAAAAAAAAAAATATATATATTCAATTAATACTGTACAATGTAACTAATGATTCAAAACTACATGTATATTCACATTTCCAGTAAGCTGTTACTTTTCAAATGTTTTTGCTTTAGCTTAACTAAATTATACCCCACATTTACAGGTCTACATATGTTACATTTCCACCATAAAACCAGATTACTTCCGTACACTGACGGTTTTGGAACCATAGAGTTTTGTTCAAATAAACAAAACTCAACAGCTGCCCAGCACTGTGTGGAAGCTCTCTGATTAGTCAGCAATCTGTTCTGGAGGAGTTCCCTCAGGCTCAAATTCTCCCACCCACAGCTTCACACTAACTCATGGGTTCAGACACTGTCAGGGTGATTTAACAGACGCCTGAAGACACACAGGTCCAAACAGATGCTCGTCCCAACAAGCCAAAAGACATAACAGTTATTCATGAACAGGATGTAAAAGGAGAAGCTTACTCAAAAAATAAGTTGTCATCATTTTCTCACCCTCATGTTATGACTTTCTTTCGTCCATGAAACACAAAAGATGTTTTCTATGCATCGATAACGAAAAGGGATCAAAGTTTCCAATCTTTAAAAAGAATGCAAATATGCCTAAAAAGTGTCATAAATATTTCCCTTACAACTCATGTGCTTTATTTCACGTCTTCTGGTGCAATACAAGAGCTTTCTGTGATGAAAAGATACAAAGTCATTATTCAGAAAAAAAATATTGTTCGTCTTTGGCACTTGAAAAAACAGCCATGTTTTTGAATGTTACTCAATGATCCAGATGCAACGGTAGACAGTTCACCAGAGGGGAATATTGTCAGTGGATAAATGTCTTTTTTCATGTAAAGCTCTCAAAATGGTTTCGATAGACTAAAAAAAGCTCACAAGTCACCCATTTGAATCTTTTACGGTTTTATGAAACTTGACGACTTCAGTTATCCTTTATTGTATCTGAATACACAGGACTTTTTCCGTCCATGAGAATTTCTACAGAAGAAAGTCATACAGGTATGGAAGCTTGTTTCCGCTACTGAATAAAAATAAAAAAGGTAATTGTGACTTTTTATCTCACAATTCAGACTTTTCGTGACTTTCATGAATTACGAGTTTTAAAGTCAGAATTGCGTGATATAAACTCTAAATTTAGAACACAATTCTAATTTTTTCCTCAAAATTTTTAAGTTTTTACATCTCACTATACTTGTGAGATATAAACTCACAATAGTAAGAACGTTGTATTTTTTACCCTCTGAAATTGACTTTATAACTCACAATTGCAAGTTTATATCTCACAATTTTGAGAAAAGTCATCAGAATTGTAAGGGGGAAAAAAACAGAATTGTAAGATATAACCATGCCATTGCGAGAAAGTCAGAATTACCTCTTTTATTTTGTGGCGGAAACAGACTTCCATATACAGGTTTGCATACTGAATATTTTTTTTTTTTTTTAAGGTAATTGCGACTTTTTATCTCACAATTCTGACTTTTTTCTTGCAATTCAGACTTTTTCTCAGAATTGTGAGATATAAGATTTATGAGATATTGCGAGTTATAAAGTCCAATTCTGAGGGGGAAAAAGACTGAGATTTTCTCAGATTTACAAGCTTATATCTTGCCATTCTGACTTTATTTCTCATAATTGCGAGTTTATATCTCACAATTCTGACTTTTTTCTCGGAATTGAAATTTAAATCTCGCAATTCTGAGAAAAAGATTCAGAATTGTGAGACATACATTTGCAATTGCGAGAAAAAAGGCAGAACTGTTTAAGTAAGTTTAAGTAAGTTTAAACTTACTGTTTAAACTTAAACTTAAGTTTAAACTTACTAAACTTTTAGTAAGTTTAAATCTCGCAATTCTGAGAAAAAGATTCAGAATTGCGAGATATACATTTGCAATTGCGAGAAAAAAGGCAGAACTGTTTAAGTAAGTTTAAACTTACTGTTTAAACTTAAACTTAAGTTTAAACTTACTAAACTTTTAGTAAGTTTAAATCTCGCAATTCTGAGAAAAAGATTCAGAACTGCGAGATATACATTTGCAATTGCGAGAAAAAAAGGCAGAACTGTAAGATAAAAAGCCACAATGACCTTTTTTAAAAAAATGTATTCAGTGGAGGAAATGGGCTTCCATAGGTTTGATACAACATTACAGCAGAATATTTATCTTTGAGCGAACTTTTTGTTTGAAATTAATGCAAAGGCTAGTAAGCTTTTTTTTTTAAACAAGATGTTCAACCTCAATGTGGCATTCTTGTCAAAAAACCAAATGTACCAACTAATGAAGCCATTTTACAGAGAGCGACAGATGACAGCTACGCCCTTCTGCCTGCCGACACCCCCGGTGACTCTAGCACAGTGCCCCCTGTAGGAGACCCTTCAGGTAACGAACAACTGACGCCTGGTCAACTGTCCGAAAGGAATGAGTGATGGGCTCTTTTTGGGCTCTTTTGTGTTTGCCTATCCACCTAGTTTCATTAACTTGCCTGTTTTGAATCAAATTTTGTACATGTTCCAGACCTTCCAACTTGTCTACTGTGTGTGTGTCTAACTGGATCTGTCTACTGCGAGGAGGTCGACCCAGATATGACATCAGTGCCGGCTCTGCCAAAGGAGACAAACTACCTCTACGCTCGGTACAACAAGATAAAAAAGATAACAGCCAAAGATTTCGGAGATATCGGTGAGTTCTTCCTGACTTGACTTGCTCTGGCATTCTCGTTGACCGCCGTTTTCTGTTGGGGGAACAAATACAATTCTTGTGGACAGGATAAGGGATTACCCCAATGGAGAGCAGGAGGCAAACAGCTGCTTCTTTTCAGAAACAACCCAGAATCCATTTCACCCAAAAGATTTCCAAATGTTAAGGGACATGATATACAAACCGCAATGTGATCGCATGAGATTGCGAGTTCTTCGTTTTGAAATTACAAAATTGTGTAATTTCTGAGACAAATTGTCCAGGTGTTTAACATACGTTGCTTAACCTTCATATTATGAATTTAATGCTCTTCTGTCCATTTCCATTCATCTACTGTAGTGACTTTGAAGAGAATCGACTTCACTGGAAACATAATTTCTGAGATTGAAGATGGTGCGTTTGCTAAGCTTACCATGCTAGAGGAGCTCTCGCTAGCCGAAAACCAGCTGGTCAAGTTACCAATGCTACCGGCAAAATTAGTCTCCTTCAATGCTAATCACAACAAACTGAGGACCAAAGGAATCAAGTCAAATGCTTTCAAGGTAAAGAGCCACAAATTACAATACCTGTTTGAAAACACTACTAGCCAACCCACAACCTTTTGTTTTTGGGCTTGCTACTTTTTTTTAGACGTTCTGAAGTGACTTTTTAAAGGCCTTAATTTCTAGAAAGAATACCTTTCCGAATCGAATTAAGCAAGACAAAAACAGCCTTATTTGTCAAAACCCTTTTGCTCTTAAAATTCTGACTTAGAATACTGATCTTCTTCGCTTACAGAAATTAAGCAAACTGGCACATCTGTATCTTGCTCATAATGAACTGGAGGCCGTTCCTCTCATTCCAGAGACTGTCCGCACACTTCACCTTCAGGTTAGGACGTTGTTTTGCTTGCTAACATCGCACAAAAATCATACAAATATTATTACACAATCCACAATGTCTTGAAAGAACTCTAAACCTCTCTACTGCTGTGTTTTCAGAACAATAACATTTCAAGCGTGACCGTGGACACCTTCTGCAAAAGTAATGACACATACTACATCCGCCCCAACATGAACGAGATCCGTATGGATGGAAATCCCGTCATCCTCGGCCAGTACCCCACCAGTTTCATATGCCTGCAGTCTCTGCCAATTGGGCGATACCAATGAAAACCGAATCAAAGGTACTCCACAGTGAGAAGTCCTTGGATAGCCAATGATGATGGCTAAAACCGAGAAGCAAAAGTCATTCAATCTCCTAGTGCCTGAGCACAGATGAGTGTACAAAAAGTTAATACCATGAGAATCTGTATTATATATCTAATTATGTAACAGCTGCCCAAACACTTAGATTTCCTTTTGATATTGACTTTGTAGATGAACCTAAACCACAAGTCTTTGAACTAATAACTTTATATCCATTGTAAATAACCAACGGAGGCTACTGCTTAGTAAAATGTGAGATCATGAAAAGCTGCAGTCAAGCTTCTAGTATTCCTCAGAACTCTGTGAATTTCTGACACTTTCTAGTACTGTTAAAATGTCTTACTTTGGCTGAAATTAAGATGCCTGCTAAGTTAAATAGAGGGCGAGGAACTCATTCCAAGTTCCAAGTCACTGTTCTTTCCCAGCTGACTTTTACTTTAATATTTTGAATATTTATATGCTAAATTTGTAATTACTACCCATGTGTGAATTAAACATGAATAGACTGTACAGTAAAACATTGTATGAAATCAACATGTAATGTTCACTTTAGTTGTTCAAATACACTTTTTTTTTCTAAAACCTTGTGACTGGTTTGCTTTTATCTTTTATAACAACTATGTCAGACAGCAGTTAAAGCAAAGAAAAAAAATGCAGTTCCAAAAAGAGACCAAAACAACTGTCTGCAAATTGCAAACCAATCAAACCCAAAGATTGTGCATGCAGAAAGTTCTGGAAAAAGTGGGGTAATATTGTTCCATTTAACTGGCCAAATTGGCAGCCATTACAGCACAATGGTCCAAGCGGAATGTTTTTCATACTGACTCGAAGGCTTCATTCCCAAACTTTCACTGCCATCGAGTCATGGAATTTGTTCCCAATCTGGCATTTAGCAATCTTTCTCATACTTATGAAAGTCTTATGATATGTGCATATTAGGTGGAACTACGAATAAAAACCTTACAAGATGATAAATAAAAATGGAGAACTTTGTTATTCCAGGTAGAATCTTTTAAATGTATATTTTTCTCAAAGAAATTAAATAAATCTAAGAAACCAGGTGTCTTTGTTTTGGCTAGACATTGGTCTAAATAATCATATTCCTTCTATAACTTATTACAGTATTAAGTCCCCCTGTAGTCATTTTCTCCCTTAAAACTCATCTTTGATCATCAAAATGACATTTTTAAATGTTTTTTTCTTGTGAAAATTTTCTCATACCTTAAAATAGCTTGAATGTAACTCTACACCTAGTGTAGAGGAGCACGGAACGAGGAGACGCAGAGTCGAATTCAAACTTATAGACTTTAATAATATCCAGGGAAACAGGAAAACACACGTAGCAAGGGTAGACATCAACAATTCCAGACGAGAGAGAACAGAACGGGATAGAACTAAAATAGGGCAGATAATGAGGGGCAGACAGGTGAAGAGGATAACTAATAACAAGGCACACCTGGAATAAATAGAACTAAATGGGGGCAGGAACCGGAAGGACCAAATAAGGGCATAAAGAAACAGGAGGCAGGAACACAGGGAAAACAAAACAAAAACCGACCATAAACGTGACATTATGCTTGCCTCATTTACTCTACGCGGATCTATGAATACGCAAATTAGCCCCACCTCCACTCAGTTACACCAGCCAGGGCCTCCTGATCGACGGATAATGACTGATAAAACTATGTTTTTACACAGTGGATACTGCATAATTTGTTAAAGTTACTATTTGACAATGTTGTGTCCTCAAAATGCCTTGAAGACTCGAATACAGCCAAGTTTGTGATTCTAATTTGCCAATATGGGAGAGGTGGGTCTGACTCCGGGCTACTTTTACATTTTTGCGCGGGATATTATTCAAGTTAGCGGTTCTAAATTCACGTTAAACCATGGCTTCATGGGTTTTTTGCTCCATTATATTTTTGGTTTTGTGCTGGTAATATTGGTATATTATACAGCGGGGGGGGAAAGGCCACGTTTGTACAAATGGAGAGAGGGAGGCATAATACATCACTGCCACATTATCATGATAACACTGGCTAAATATTTGTGCAAATATCAAATTAGACACACTGTACTGATAAAACACAAGAAAAATAAACTTACTGGTTGATCTGCATGTTGGTTCTGCAAAAAATCTATCCCTTGACATGATTGGTAATTGAATTTTGTGACATAGCAAAAAAAGGGCTGTTTCAAACCACGTTTATGGGACAGAGAAAATACTCAGCAATGGTGTTGATTAATGGATTGGCACAGGGTTTGTCTAAAAGCATATTAAAAACACCACAGAGACAAATAAACAACATAAAAATCTTGATTTTCACTACAGGGGGACATTAACTTATTATATTACATGGCTTTTTGAAAGCTATAGGAACAAAAAAGCCAAAATAGCATTACTCAAAATGCTTGAATTGAATATAAACTTTACAAACAACAACAAAAGTCTGAATACTAAGCTGCAACCAACTGGACAAATGGCGCCACAACCAATCAGAGAAATTTAAGTCCCCAGAGTCCCCATTTTGGCAAGTTTGTGTGTAGCAGCCAGTGGAGTTTGATAAAAGTCACAATTGCTTTCATGATCAATCATCTCTGTAATTTCTCAGTACTCAAGAATTGTGCCCATACATAGTTGGTTGAGGACCTTATTCCCTGCTTCTATTGCTGGTTACCTGAAAGTGCTGAAAAGTTTGACGCCTCTCCTCACACCTCTCAGAGAACGTCCTCAAGGTCCTGAAGAACAAGAGAAGATCTTTTGTGTCCTCCACTCTGCAAACAAAACAGTAGGTACATTAATACCCCATAAACCCATCACTGTTTTGCTCACTTTGGTAAATGATACATTCTAACTAGAGACTGTCGTATTTGATTATTTGATGAAAAACATGACAGGGAAATGCCCTCCTTAATGTAAAATTCAGCATAAAATATAGAAGGATAAACTGTGTATTTGTGTTTAATCCCCTTCACAGGCTGACGTTACGAGACATTGTGAGATTTTCCATAGATTTACTAGGGGCCCAGAAACTGTGGCACAGGACACAACTTTCCATGACTCTCGAGTCTTGTCTGTGAAAGGCCAGTGTTGTAATGAGTGATGGAAAAATGGTAAGTCTCTCAAAACTAAATGGATCCACTCCAAGAGTAAAAGACAGCAGCTTAATGGCAAGAGCTGGAGAAAAGGCTCCCTGAGAATGTCTAAACACCAGACAATTAACGTACACCTTAAATTTTTTGGATTTGGGTGAGCTGAAAGTTTACAAACATTAATCAACCATCTGGTTTGACTGACGTCTAACGCTGTTTAAAATAAACCACAGACAAATCACCCTCGCCGACGGATCTCATTTTGTAATGTGGGCAAATTCCATCGTATGCATTTTAGATTTGTTGATTGGGGACCTTGAATCTGAAGAAGTCATTATAAACCACGCTTTCCTAGAATGCTAACCTTTTAAGTTCGATAGACTAAACATACTGAATGCCAGGATCGCTCTACAGACCAATTAATGGCAAATCAATGTTTGGCTCCTTTGTATAATTTCACTAAATTTGTCCCTTCAGTTTTTATCATTTGCCTGGTTAGGCTGCCAAGAACCTGTGGCATGTACTAATATTAGACGTATAGGTTCCAAAAAACAAATGTATGTCTACCTGTGTGGTTGTGCTTCGTTTCAAACTTCACACTTGTCAAAAATCAAAACATCAACAACAGAACAAAAGTTGTAAACATGGCTATAGAGCATACAGTAATGATAGCACAAAAACTCAAAGTTTTAGCCCTTTAAAACTTTCTCCCCAAACATGCCTGAATCCACTTATGTACCTGACCACAAGAGTGCTCAAAAAATTCTTCTTAAGTTTACATGAACCATAATGGTTATAAAATGCGTCTTCCTGAGACGCAGAGACAACTCAGACTTATGCGAGAATCATTATCTCCAGTATTTTTCCGACTCTCTCGTGCCAGGACAGACTCTCAGACCAGACAATATGATCCAGATGTACATTCAGCGACCAGGAGGCTGGCTGCACTTTAGAAACAGACCCAAAAAAATTGCCGCCAAAACAGCAGCATTACTTCAAACTGTAATTTGTCATCCCAGCCAAAAACTCCTGCGACTAAGTGGAACAACTGTAGAAGATATTATATTATGTCTTCAGAAAACAAAACTCTGAAATTTTAACAAATTCATTAGTAATTCAATCATATAAGTCTAATGCATTCACATTTAAAGTAATATTAAATAGATTGAGAGATCTACAGTGGTAACCAGAGGGCTGTTGGTTTGAATATCTAGATAAAAAGATGAATTAATGGGATAGTTTACCTAAAAATGAAAATTTACTCACCCTCAAGCCATCCTAGGTCTATATGACTTTCTTCATTCAGATGAATACAATCAGAGTTATATTAAAAAATGTCCTGGCTCTTCCAAGCTTTATAATGGCAGTCAATGGCTGTTGATATTCAATAGTCTAATAGAAGTCCAATAAAGTGCATCCATCCGTTATAAAAAAAAAAGTACTCCACATGGCTCTGGGGGGTTAATAAAGGCCTTCTGAAGCGAAACAATATGTTTGTGTAAGAAAAATATCCATATTTAAAACTTTATAAACCATAATCTCTAGCTTCCGCTAACTGTCATACGTGCGTTCACGAGAGCGTGGCTTTCCAGCAGATGACGTAGGATGCAGGCGTAGCATTAGCTCCGTGAGAATATGCTAGTCTTGCGAGAACCAAGTTTTGTTTATAGGCGCAAAGGAGGCTTTGTTTAGAAAAGGAAAACAAGTCTCCTCTTGGCTTATATCAAAATCCTCTGACATTTTTCTTTACAAATCTTCATTCTGTGTTTTGTTTTGCTCTCCTCTGTGCTTCTGCGTTCAGCACTTCTCATTGGAGCCTACGCTACACCAATGTCCTACGTCATCCACTGGAACGCCACTTTATTGGACTTCTGTTGGACTATTGAATATCAACAGCCATTCACTGCCATTATAAAGCTTGAAAGAGCCAGGACATTGTTTTACCATAACTCAGATTGTATTCGTCTGAAAGAAGAAAGTCATATACACCTAGGATGGCTCGAGGTTGAGTAAATCATAGGGTAATTTTCATTTTTGGGTGAACTATCTCTTTAACAGCTACCAATTACCATAAAGCTACACATAATGTATGACATGAAAGGATAAACCTAGCAGCTGGATAACAAATTGACCATAAGCATGAATCTTTCCCACTAGAAGTCACAGGTTCAGACCTCAGCTCTCTTATTTCTTCAAGTATATAGCAAGTATGCTGTACAACACATAATCTAAATAACCTAACCTTCTAATTATCTCAGCTGTGTTCTCTGTGGATTGCTGGAAATGTCAACATCAAAAGGTGTTACTTTAATGGGAAGTTTTGTGCTGTACTTGTTCAAGTAATAATAGAAGACAGAACTGTGCTTACACAGTTCTTACACTGTGTTTACACTATAAACCAACAGATAAACCAAATAAATCTATAGGACAACAATGGCTTTAATCCCTGAGGTGTCTGGTGGAGTTGTACAGACTGTCCTGCCTTACACAATCCAGAGTGACCTACAGGTGGTCCACATGTTCACTTTTTACAGTGCACACACTGTGGGGTGCTGTTGGCCGTCAATGACTTGCTGGTGCCATTTGTTGACAGTTTAATGAGCGGGACATGTTACGGACCGTCACCACAGCACTTTTAAACATTAAATCCACACATCATTATGTTGGGTGCAGCGTTCTTCTGGACTTAAATGACTGAATCTCATTACAGCACAAGCAGAGCAACCGTCTATAGCTTGCCTTGAAGCTGCTCTGTAGGAGCTTTACCACAAAAATAAAACAAAACAGAATGGAATGGAACAGAACAAAAATACAATAAAACAGAACAGAATACAGCAACAGAAGACAATACAATAGAACAAAGCAGTACAGACACAACAGAACCGAGAGAACCCAAATCATACAATATAGAACTGAGAGAACAAATCATAAAATAACAGAAACAAAATAGAACAGAATACAATAGAACAAAACAAAACAAAAAAGTCCAGAAAACATCACAACAACAAAAAAAAACAGAATAAAACAGAGCAAAACAGAACAGACTAAAGAGCAGAATAGAATAGAAGACAGAAATTTGTAAAAACAGAACAGAAAAATCACAACAGAATTGAACATAACTGGACAGAACAGAATAAGGCAGAATAAAACACAACAGAACAGAATGCAATGGAACAACAAGAAACACAACAAAACAGAGTACTACAAAAAAAAACAATAAAACAGGACATACAAAAATTGAATAGAATAAAATTGAATATAGCAATAGAATAGAACAGAACGTGATAGAATTAAATCTTTCACAAATGATCTTCCTTCAAAGATGAAGCTACCACAGATATGGACCACATGCCTAATGATCAGAGACATTTATTTGTTAATTTGGCCTGGACCATGAATAAACAAATACTTCAGCTGCAAGTATAACAGAAACCCCTCAAACATATAAACAAAGCCCTTATTTGGCTAACGATGGAATATTTTTGAGGTTATATTGCATTTTGTTTGAACACTGCCTCATATGAAAGATTCTCAAGAGTACATTGCCATCAGTCAATCAGCCAGCAGCGGGATCTAACCTGATCTCGCAACACTTGTTAATCAGTCCTCAATGAGAAAATCAGACCTCTGCAGGAACTCTCCTACATCGCGATGACAAAAGCTGGTCAGTGTTCACTCAGCATCTTGCTAATGAGCCACACAGATACATTTATTTCCCTTGTATTGAGTTTTGTTTGGATTTGTATCTTTTTACAAGACTAACATAAAGCAGAATGCTCTTCTTTGTTCTATAGTGTCTGGGAATTCAATTGCCTGATGTTTACTTACACTGTAGGTTTTATGTTGTGTAACCCTATTGCGCAACCTGGATTTTCTCCTAATGGGATTTCTGTTGATTCAGTTATGCAAACAAGCAAGATACATAATTTTGTGAAGAGTACAAATTATCCATGGAATCTGCTTACCTTTAAAAATAAATGTAAAAAATAATTGCGTTAAAGGAATAGTTTACTCACCCTCAGGCCATGCAAGATGCAGAAGAGTTTTTCTTTAGAACAGATTTGGAGAAATTTAGCAGTTTTACCAATGGATCCTCTGTAGTGAATGGGTGGTGTCAGAATGAGAGTCCAAACAGCTGATCAAAACATAATAATCCACAGGTAATTAACAGGACTCCCGGTAATTAGTTAACGTCTTGTGAAGCAGAAAAATGCGTCAGTGTTTCCCATACATTGATTTATTTGTGGCGACCCGCCACAATTTCAACACTGACCGACACAAATAGATTTTCCAATAGGCTTTGAATTCATTGAGTAAACATGAGCTCAGCACGTTTCAAAGTTAAAAATGTGGCGTGGGTGTTTTTATATGAATGTATCTTTGAAGGGAACCGACTCTCTTCAGAAAAGTTTAGATGCCATTTTCATTTAATCTCTCCTATTATGCTTGATAACGTAGCTTTGGCAGTGCTGCTCTGTGTACAGCCATTACCAGGGAAACCGCTGTATTTCTGCGACCCCAGAAGCGCCACCTGCTGGCAGAGAATTAATCTGCATTTTCAATATGCAGTATGCTATTTTATATTTACATTATATACATACAGTGCACAGCATAAATCAGTACACCCCCTCTGATTAAATATAAAAGATGTATTTTCTTAATGATCACTAATATAATTCATAGAAAGATGGCAAAACTGAAATGTATTAAACATATTCTTGATAAAAACAGAGAAATACATGCCATTAATATCTGTAAAATAAGAAATGTTGCCAATTTTTGTTTAAATTAAGGATTGCAGAATTGAGTACAACCTAGATTTAATTCAACCAAGTTTCAGAGGGGGTGTACTCATTTATGCTGTGCACTGTATATATTTCCCTCAGGGGAAATGCCGCCACACAGAGTGTAAGTCTGTGGGAAACACTGATGTGTGTTTGTACAAATCCATCATTAAGGCATTTTAACCTAAAACTGTTGCTTCTGACCAAAATATGATCCATAAATCCTCCAGTGAAAAAGTTCATCCCGTTTTCCTCTCACATCAAAGTCCACCAACATATTTGTTTAGAAATGTTTTCACTTGTAAACAGTGCTAGATCTGTGCATATTTCTCTCCTGATTCAGACAAGACAATTTTATCACTGGAGAAAGTTATATTATGGTAGTGGACTCGTATTTTAGCCAGAGAACGATTAAATGTTAAAAACATCTTAATGACAGATTTATTACAAACATACAGTTTTTTACTTAACAAGACATTAACTTATGGACTGGAGTGGTGTGGATTACTTGTGGGTTATTGTGATGTTTTTATCAGCTGTTTGGATTCTCATTCTGACGGCACCCATTCACTGCAGAGGATCCATTGGTGAGCAAGTGATGTAATGCTAAATTTCTCCAAATCTGAAGAAACAAACTCATCTTCATCTTGGATGACCTGAATTGAAATACAAACACACCATTGATATTAAGAAGTTACCAATCATCACTCTACCTGGACACAAATGCAGAGAAATCTTTGAATTCAACACCATCCACAACGATATTGAGCTCTGTAACTCTCCTGAGCAGTGCATCATCTTCCTGTAATAAAACACTGAGAGTTAGACAAGATCATAAATAGTCTTGTTAAATAATCTTAAACTGATCTGCATTTTTTATATTACCTGTCATGAGACTGATGGTTTATGGGATTTCCTTTCTTCAGGAAAAATATTTTTTGTTGTGAAGACTGGAGCACGAAACTGCTTTTACTTCTTTATATAACGCTTCAAATTTATTCTCAACTATTCTCATTGTAAAGATTTTCAGTTGACTCAGCTTTAGACACAAACAAAACCTTCATTATCACGTCACATTGATCTTCCCACAGGCTGCCAGTTTAAAATAACTCACAATTCTTTAAGAGAGCCATCAGTCTCCAACCAACAATTCTATTCTAAATCATTTAATGCGACTATGTAAATATTTGTGCTAAGGAGGGCCCTCAAAGAGTTGGATTTATGCTTGTCATGAAAATTTCAGAGAAACAATAAGAACTGGAAGAACTATAAATGCCGAGTCTAATCCATTAAAGAGGCGTTTTAAGACTAGTGCACAAATCTCAAGATGTTGAAAGGAAATGTCATGGTTAAAATGGAAACATGCTGCCCTCTTGTGTTGAGTATAAGAATAATCATCACGGTCTTCACCACTGGTTCTAATAACCTTGAACTGTATGGAGTTTAAATGATTGTTGGTGATATGTGAGAATTTCAGCACTTAATCACATTTTCTTAAGAAAAATTGAATGGCACTTTATAATACAAAACATGTCATGATGCTGATCACTTACCTTTCTCCTCAACATGCCACAAGATTTGAGGCATTATACAGGGTTCAGGATTTAAACAAACCCCAAAATACAAAATAAAACCAAATATCAACTGATTTACAGCATCTTAGTATGAACTTTGTAAGTTTTTGTGTTATGTTTGTGAGAAACAATTCCATCATTAAGGCATTTTAACTTCAAACCATTGCTTTTGGCCAAAAAAAAAAGACTCCATAATCCATAACAACACTTCCTCCTGTAAAAAAGTCCATATGCATATTTCTCTCCTAATAACTTTTTCACTGAAGAAAGCAATATTAAGGACAGAGAACTAATATTTAGCCATAAACAGTGGTCTTAATGATGGATTTGCTTTTTGCTTGACAGTTAAGGGACTGGAGTCATGTCGATTACTTGTGGATTATTGTGATGTTTTTATCAGCTGTTTGGACTCTCATTCTGATGGCACCCATTCACTGCAGAGGATCTATTGGTGAGCAAGTGACACATTTCTCCAAATCTGTTCCAAGAAACAAACTCATCTACATCTTTGATGGCCTGAAGGTGAGTACATTTTAAGCAAATTTTTATTTTTGGGTGATCTATTCCTAAGAAAAACTCAAAACTTATAAAATAAATTATTACTAATGGGTTTCTTAACTTAACGGGTTTGCTGCAACCAGCTGCAGGGCTGTGAATATATTAAGTCCTAAAGCACACAATCTACATGCACTCATCTGGCAGGAAGAATATCTCAAATAGCCTGTTTTGCAAAGAGTTATTCATTTTACATGCATTTTGAAAGCATATGTTAATTTTAATAAATAATACTTGTGTTAATACTATTAAGCGCATGCATAAATATTTTGTGGCTTCTTTGTACCTGAATCTCAGTCACTGCAAATTCAACCTGGAACAAAAGTACACTGCAGTGACCTGCAAGTCTGAGCTGCTGTACAAGTTTTCTTTCACCTGAAAAAACAACAGAATAACCCATTTATACAACCTAAATTAATTTTTATATAAATATTTCATATACATATTTTTAATATAAATTATTTCATATTTAAAAGCAAATTTCAAAAGACTCACTTTTGTGCAATGTCTTCACAAAACACTCATTTAGAGCGATCCCATTGATTTCGGTCTGTCGTCTGAGTTTTTTTTCCAGCTCTCTGACTTCTGTGATCAGCTTTGAAAGAGTGTGTTTTTGTGCTCCTCCTCTTTCCTTATAGACTGACTTTCTGAAAGAAAAATGTAATTAATTTGATCCAGCCTTCAAGTAAAACATTTTCATTGCGAATATGCTTTTTAATGTCACAGAAAGACGGTACGTTTTTTTGTTTAGCTTTAGTCTGTTTTTGTCCAGTTTACGCTGCTATATGACACTAGACAAAATCCATCGAAAGGTAGTCCATACTAACAGTTCCCGCTGTAGTCGATCTCCATGCTCTATGAAAATGGACCGTAAAGTCTCCTCCTGTTCAGCCTCCAGCATTTCAATTTCCTGCTGGAGCATCTGGATCTCTTCCTCATATTTCTGCTCCATTATCTTCCTCAATCTACTAAGAAACAGTTTATGAAAAAATACATATATATAGAGAGAGAGAGAGAGAAAGATAAAGAGATACATATATAAAAATAACTTCATATTCTACATGATATACACAAACTTAGCCTAAAATAATAACATTTGCATAATAACATAATAAATAATAACATTTGCATGCCAGTATTGTTTTAATATGATGCAAAGGTTCTAATTAATCAGCTCAAGTCAAAATCCTTAACTTTTTAACTTCTCTAACCAATACATAACATTATATAACATTTCAACAAAATTTACAACAAACATAAATTAATTTCACTGCATATACATCTGTCATTACACTCTGTAGGAGATTTATATCATAAACTCTTTTATAAATTGTCACTAAACGACAGATTATCCTAACAGCTGTCCATAAGTTATTTCTAAACCTTTATATTGCTTTATATAGTTTCATAACGATATTTTGAGTGTAAATCAGATGAAAGGAGCTTGATTTGACGAATCAAATCATCAAGAGGTAAAAAAAATATTGTTTTATTTGTAAAACAAATGGAGTTGTAATATAAATATGTATTTTATTTCTTATATGGATTTAATAATTTGTGTAGAACTTATATCAATCTTGAAATCCAATGTTTAAAGGAATAAACTTACTTTAACGTTCTTCTGAAGGTAAACACTGCGACTTTATGATTTTGACTGATTCAACTAAATCCCGCGTCAACATGGAACATACCACATGGGAACTGCAGGGGCGAACCGTACCCAAAAACACCCTAAAACATTTGAATGTTAATCTAAAAAGCATTATTATGAAGTGGCGTGTTTATAAACATGTTACTTTCTGCGTATAATTATCATCGCGTATGGGAGAAATTGAAAAGTTGTCTAATATTGCTTTTCTTGATTCCGTGAGTATGTTTTGTCGATGGAACTTTCCATAGCGTTGCGTGACATTCGCAAGCGGAACCAAAAACACGTCCGTGGTGTCACGGCGGAACAGTTACAGTGTAACATCCGTATGTACATGTGAATCTTTGGCGTGATCGTAAGTCTGTTTTGAGTTTATGATAATACCTTTATTCTGCCTTATGGAATATTTTTAGGAACTGTTTAACGATGATATGTTAAAGTATGACTCTGTATGAAAGTATGAAGTATTGAGAAATCAGGATCATACGGTATGTACTTTTGTAATAATCATATGTTCATGAGTCTCATGTTTTTAAACATAATTTACAGAATTTGATACTTGTATGTCTTTTGCAATGCAGTTAAAATTTTATATTTTAATTAAAGAATTGGTGCTTACATTTGTGTACAAGGCAAATAATGATACGTACAGTACTGCATAATCTTTAGGAATTGATCTACAATTATATTACTTTTTAAAAAATTCATGATAATTTCATAATTATAATTATTGTAAAAATAGAAGTAAGCGGGATCATAACATCATATGGTGCCCCCTTGAGCAACAATCATTGTCTGCACATTTGAGTTTTTTCCTCACAATAGTTATATATAATTTTATTATATAAAGTTATTATATAATGTTGAGTCTATCTTTGCCACTGTCAAGTGGCAGTTAGGTTCCGCAATACTATGATTTTATTTATTTTTTATGCCTTCCTTCCTATATGGGGACTTCGGTGTGGTTCATTATGTGTGTTTTGATGGTACACAGAAGGGGTTGGCCATGAAACGATTGTACATCGGTGGCCTTGGCCACACAGTGTCTGAGAAGGACCTCAAAGACAGATTTGGAAAATTTGGGGATGTGTCAGATGTGGAAATCATTACGAGGAAAGATGAGAATGGTAAGAATTCGATAAAACCTCCACCCCC